TCTCTTCATCCGTTGCCGAGCGCAGGCCCAAAAACTGCGGTGACTTGCGAGGAGGCAAGCCGAGCAGAAAAATGCAACAGCAACGCGAGCGTGGTGCTCACGAAATCGCCTATGGAGAACCTGCTGGCGCAGGTGCCGCGGCTCTCTGCTGAGGTCGACTGGGGGCCCAGGCCCCCAGGCCCCGGGACCGAAAGAGGCAGCGGGCCCCCATGAGATGCGCGAGAGCCCGTCACCATGGAGAAGAGCACGCGGAGGCGGCCGCGGCGGCAGACCCCGCGGCAGCCGCCGAAGAGGCCGGGGCGTCGCAGGAGGCCCAGCCCGAGCAGGGGGCCTCGCGTCCCCCGGCTAACCGCCAGAGCCGGCGGCGCCTCCCTTGGGTGGGGCCCTCGGTAGCGCGGCCGTCGTCTCCTCCTGCCGCTGCCGCTTCGCCTTCATGGTCTGAGCCAGCGCACGGGCGCCCGTGTCGTCCACGGCCGTGTCGAGGACGAGGTCGAGGCCCTGGAAATCGGGGGCCCTGGGGTTCTTGCGGACGGCGGCCTCGAGCTGCCTCAACCGTCTGATGAGGTACTCGGCACCAGACACATTGTACAAGTCGAGCTTGTCGAACTGCTGCATCATGCGCAGCGCCACGCAGATCATGGGGTGCTCCCACACAACGTTGCTCCGCTCAGCCACTCCCTTCCGCCGAAGCCAGGTAATGTGATGATCCCCCGACGCGCCCTGGCCACCGTCTCGAAGAGCCACGACCGCCTCGCGAGCGGCCCTCCTGCCCTGCAGCGGCCAGCCCGGGACGACAGCCTCCTTCGCCCACCTCGCGGGGTCGCGGAACTCGATGAAGCGCCCTCCGTCTGGATCCCTCTCGTCCCCGACGACCCACGGGTCGCGTCCAGCACCTCCGCGAGAGAGTGACAAGTACGAGACAAACGTGCGACCATCCGCCACCTTGACAGCATGCAACCAGACATCGTCGATCTGCGGCGGCACCTGCTCTCCGAAGTGCGAGGAGGTAGGATCGGACACGAACCTCTCGTCCCCAGGCAGCCCGACAACCCCCGCCACGTCGAACCCCAAGATGATGGCCAGCGCGCGGGCCTCCTCCAAGTAAGGCTGCATCCCCTCCGGTGGGGCGTCGTGGAACGCATAGATGTTGCCCGCATGGCGGGCAGGGAAAGGGCCAAAGCGTCGCAGCGCGGGCACGGCGGGCAGGGTTGGCACGGCGTGCCCTGCAGGTGCTCCGGGCCGCAGCGTACCAGCTGCTCCCGAAGGACGGCCACAAGGCCGTCGGAGGCGTCCGCGCCCTCGAACGCGCAGCGGCAGGTGACCTCCGCGATCGCGGGGCGGCTGCCTCCACCCCAGCGCTCAGAGAGGACGCCGATGACCCATCCACCAGCAACCTGAGACAACCCGGCCATGAAATCTTCACGGCAGAAAGGCTTGAGGACAGAAGGCGGCGGAAGGGTCTGAGGCTGTCGCGGAGCAAATGCAAGACTTTTCGCTCTTACTTGCTCGCGTGCCATTCAGCACGTATATCCTAAACCCTCGGTGCCCGCCCTCGTCGTCTTCGATCGTACCCCCTCTGGGGCTATATCTTCCTTACCTGCCGCGCGTAGTTGGCGCAGCCCCCGAAACAGGGGAGGGGAGGACGGATGGAGGGGGGGAGGGAGACGGATTGGGGCACGGGATCAGCAGGAGGGGGGGCTAAGGGCAGGAAGCACGCGGCAGAACCAGACGGGCCCGTCGCGTGGGTGGGGCCTCACGTGCGGGTCGGGAAGGCGGGCCCCAGCGGCCAGGTCGAGCAGGCGGGTGGCTGAAGCATGAAAGGTGCATGAATCGCAAGGGAGTGGTCGAGCGATAGTGCGATTCCGAAGGGAAGTCCTGAAAAAGGCGGAAAAAGTGAGAGCGCGATTCCTCAGTGTCGAGAGCGCGGCGTCTGAATCAATTGCGAGGAAGTCCCACGCGAGAGCGCGATTCCTGCATACCCTGTGAGGAAGTCCCGCGCGAGAGCGCGATTTGGGAATAACTCGTGAGGAAGTATCAGGCGAGAGCCGTTGTTGTTGTAACTCGGCGACCGGGGGGATAATTTGGTGACCCCTCGCTTTCCCTTGTGCACAAAAAGGGTGCGAGCCCCGGGAAGAGTACCTTCATTGAAAAAAAGACCATGTGCCCCGGAATGGAGATTAACAGTACTTAGTCGTTAGACATGAGAAGACTGTTCGCTCGTGTCTGCGTGCGTGTCATCCAACATGTATATCCCAAAACCTCGAAACCCGCCCCCTTCGTCTTCGATCGTGACCCCCTTGGGCGCATATCTTCCATACCTGCCACGTGTAGTTGGCGCAGCCCCTAAAACAAGAAGGGGGAGAAGAGAAAACGCGAAAGAGCTAGGAGGAAAGGAATGGCGGAAGGGAGGGAGGAGGCAATGGGGCAAGGGGGAGGGGGACGGATGGAGGACGAGAGAGACTAGCAGGGAGGAGGGAACAGAGAGAGGAGCAAGAAAACAAGAGACGGACCCAGGCGGGCGGGTCGAGCGGGCGGACCCTAACGGGCGGATTTGAGCGCCCTGGGCGGGCCCTTTGGAGCCTCTGGGGGCCTCTTGGGGGCGTCTTGGGTCATGCTGGCGGCCTCGGGAGCCAGACTGGGGGGATAGGCTCCACCTGCGGCTTCGGATTCGCCGTCTTGGGCCCTTCTTGCGGCCGGGGGAGATGGACTCTCACGGGCGGGCGGGGCAGCCAGCCCTCACGGGCCGGTCGGGCTGGCCCGAACGGGCGGGTCGGGTCGTGTGAGCCCTGGCTGGCGGGCCGGGCGGCCCCGACGGGCGGGTCGGGGCTGGGCGACACGCCGAATGGCAGGAAGGCAGCCGGGCGGGCTTCCAAGCAAGCGGACGGGCGGGCCCCAACGGGCGGGTCAGGCGGGCGGACACTCATGGGCGTCTCGGGCAAGCGGACCCTGACGGGCGGGTCGGCCGGGCGGATCCCGCAATGGGCGGGTCGAGCAGGCGGGACATCAAGGCGCGACTCCTGCATAAATCGTGAGGACATATCGGGCGAGAGCGCGAGCCCTTTACAACTTGCTGGGAAGCCACGGGCGAGAGTGCAGCTCTTGGATGGCGAGAGTGCGAGTCCAGAGCAAGCTGAAAGGAATTAATTCCCAGGTGAGACACGACCCCTGAGCGGCGAGACCGCGATTCCCGGACAGATTATATAAAGGAGTCCCTGGCGAGAGCCCCGCTTGCCTAGGGTGAGAAGGCGTGCGAGGTGATTGGCTGTCACTCCTCCCCCTTTCTCCCTCCATTGGGGTCCAAAATCGCCGTAGAGGGGGGGGAGAAGGAGGGGCGGGGGGGGCAGCACAAGGGGATGGAGGCTGGGGTGGTGCACGAACCGCTGGCATTGGTGTCTGGCACCGCATGGGCCGTTCAACCTACAACGATCGCGGCTTCCCGATAGCGCAGCCGATCCTGGGCCACCAGTGGAACGCCTGCGCTGGGATCGCAGGCCCGTCAACGTAGCGCGAAGGCAGCGCACAAGGAAGGTGGAAGCACCAGGAGGCTCACGCCACTGGACACACGTGCGGAGCCGAGCGCTCGGAAGACATGCAGCCATATTGTCCATCCAGCTATCGCCCAGTCTAGCCAAGTCGAGTACATCCAGCTTCCTGTCAGCATGGGGCACCCGTGATGCGGCGTTAGCGAGCGGTCGAGGAAAGAGACCGAAGGAAACATGGCAGCCGAGCGAGCTCCTCAGACCTCCTCTTCACGCACCCCTCCCGGGTGCTGCCGTGGCCCCCCCCCTCTCGGGGCCGTATTGGGGGCCTCTGGGGCAGTCTTGGACGCCTCTTGGGCCGCTTTGGGGCCCTGTCGGGCCCTCTTGGAAGCCTTTTGGGGCCCTCCTGGAAGCCTTTTGGGCCGTCTTGGGGCGATCTCGGGGCCTCCCCGCACCGCCGGCTCGCGCCGGAGCGGACGCTGCCGAGCCCGGCGGGCGCACGCCGGGGCGCGCCCTCGGCCCTGCCAGCCCTGCGCGGCGGAGGCCGCGGCGTGTCGGCCCCCACGGACCCGCAGAAGAGGCGTATGAAGAAAAAACGTCTCACGAAGCTACGTCAAATGATGTTGACTGGCTGGGCGGCTATGTCGAGTAGGAGCTGTTGTAAGCCAAGCGCCCGTCGGGCAGCCTCGCAAAAAGGCCCCCCGCGAGGGCCTTCGCGGGCGGAGAGGCCCGCGAGGGCATCCGCGCGCGGCGGGGCGCGGGCCCTCGCGGGCAGCTCGGCGGACCGCTCGGCCCCGCCCTGCTCTCGGGACGGCGCAGGCCTTGGGCGCTCTCGTCGGCGACTCCGAAGGGTATGGTTCGCAAAGGGGGTGGTTTGCAACTGGCACCCGAAGGGAGCACTCTGGAGGGCGGGCGGGGACCTCTATAGAGCCCTCCGCCGCGCCCCGAGGAGGCGCCACGAGAACAGCGTCACGCTCCCCAGGCCCCAACGTTGCCAATTGCAAACCGCACCTTGGCGTAACCATAACCCTTGTGGTCGCCGACCTCGCCTCTCGGGGGGGGGGGCGCTTGGCGCCCCTTTGGCCGCGCCGAGCCGCGGGGCGCCAGATGGCTTCCGCGCTGTCGCGCCGCGCCCCGACGGAGAGCAAGGCTCCACGGGCCCAGGCCCACGGAGCGCCGCCTTCTGTCTTCGCGCCCCCCGCGGGCGGCGCGGGGAGAGAGTGCCGGGAAGCCTTGGCTCGTGTGCCTGACCGAGGCTCCCCCGCTGGCCCTGCGGATGCCACGGCACTGGACACCCTAACAGTCTGATCCTTGAATTTAAACATGTGTTTACAATGTAGGGAAATGTGCTACGCATGTTTTAAACATGTGTTTTAACATGCTTAAGACATGTAGCACATGTTTTAGACATCTGGAAATTATTTGGCAACATGCTTCCTCTCCATTGATCGTCCTCCACAACCCCGTCCCCCCCCTCCGTGGCGAACTTGACCGCGTCCTCCTCCGACAGGCAGCCCAGACCTCGGCAGGGTGGGGCAACCGACAGGGAGCATGCACGGTGGAGCGGTGAGGCAGTCGCCCCCCCCCAGCAGTGAGCGGAGCCGAGCTGCACGCGGCTGCCCGGAGCCCGCCAGCGAGAGCCCGTTGCGTACTGCGAGCCCGTGCCATGAAGAATGAGGCGGCGGCAGGATGAGCACGGCTGCGCTGGAGCGACGGGCGGCAAGACGCGGACCGACGAGTCGATGTCGTCGAGTCGCGGACCCAACCGAGCCCTCGACCCCTTCCCCAGGGCCGGCTTCCAACACTGTATAGTTCTGACAGTCCTGGGTCCGGCAAGCGGCCTGCTGACGCTTTGAGACAGCGGAGACGCTCTGGCGAGATTCTTCCCAGTCGCCAGACATCTGGCCATCGAACGCCGCCGAAAGGAGGGCGTCACCTTGTCCAAATCCTGGCTCTCGCCTGGGATGCTTCGTTTGTTGCAAGCCACAAACCAGACATGTCCAGCAGATGTAGGAACCGAGAGTACTTCCCATCCAAAGCCGAGCTCCCACAAGCGATGTTCGATGCTTCTATGACCCTGAACTTCTGAACACACACACACAATACAAAGACGGCATTGGTCCTTTTGAGCATCTGGCTCTGGCCAGGTGCTTTCGCAAGTTCGCGGGCATTGGCTATCGAAAGCTCAGCACACATCCGCATATGGAAAGCAACTTCTCTTCGGACTTGAAACACCCGCCTCAAACACCCCCTATACCCATAATCGGTGCAATACAGCTGCCACTGGCCTACAACCGCGTGGACGAAGCGCGGCTGCCTCTCGAAATCGTGCCCTCGACCCCAACACCGCGCACACCTGCACCAATCTCTGATGGTTATCCTTGGACGACCAGCGGTTTCCTCTGTAACCTCGTGGTGTGGCACGTGCCCCAGATCCTACCATTACTTGCTTGCGCCCCCCTGCAATGCCGGCCCTCATGGAACTTCCGAGGCACACCCGCTCAGACCGTGCTTCGCCCTGCTTCGACATCGAAGGGGAGCGCCGGTGAAGGAGTGAATCTGGGCGACATTGCGGGGGGCGTCCTCCATTTTTGAGGTCACTGCTATTTTGTCGAGGGTTGCAGTACGAGCGTTGACACACACTTCAGGACACACACACAAAGACAGAAACACAGACACACACACACACACACACATACAGGCAGAAACATAGACACACACACAGAGACACAGACACAGACACGGACACGGACACAGACACAGACACACACACAGACACAGACACAGACACAGACACAGACACAGACACAGACACAGACACAGACACAGACACAGACACAGACACAGACACAGACACAGACACACACACACACACATACACACACACACACACATTCACACACACACACACGCACACACACACACACACTTCAAGACACGCGCGTCTCTCGCCATGCGGGCCGATGGGGGCCCTCACCATGCCTGCGGGAGGGGGGGCGCTCTCGCCGTGGTGGCAGGAGGTGCGCGCATGGACGTGTGAGGCGGGGGGCCTCAGTGGAGTGACGGCGCCGCAGTGCAGCACCAGTGGTGTGCCGGGCCTGCTCAGGTCCTGCCCCCCCTCACTCCCTGGGCCCCTCGCTCCCCCTCCTCCCCCCCCCTCTTCTCTCCGCCCCTCTCCACTCCGCCCTCCTCCCTCTCGTCTCCCCCTCCCCCGCCCTTCTCCCCTGTGTTCTCCCCCGCCGCGTCCCGTCCTCCTCGCATCCAGCCCCCCCCCATTCAGCTTGATCAACCCTCCTCAGGGGCACTGGCCCCTGAGGGGAGGAGGATGGTAGCATCCAGTACGGATCATCATGCCGACAGCGCCGACAGCGCCAGGAGGAGGAGGAGACGGAGAAGGAGGAGGAGGAGGAGTGTGTGTGTGTGTGAAGCTCTTCAGAGAGGTGCCAGCTTCTAGCAGCAGTTATCACTGGCCACCGCTGGGCTCCTCTCTAGAGTGCGCCGCGGCTCGTATCATGGGCCGCGCGTGGCCTCGAAGGCACCGAGCTCCCACCCACCCCCTTCAACGGCTGGGTTGCCACGTTTTAAAGACAGGCAGGCCGAAGGGGCGGGGCTGTAAACGGGAAAAAGAGAGACACGCTAAGTCACTACCCAGGCCCCCAGGACGCCCGAGCGGGCAGGCTCTCTGGAGCCGCGAGGGGAAAACCAGGACGCCAGAGCGACAAGAACCTGGGCGCCGAGGCCCCGCGCCCCACAAAAACGGGACACCAAAAAGTTCCGCGGGGGGGCTCAGCGCTGAAGGCCCAGGAGATTCAAGATCGTCGAAAGAGGGAGGGGGGACTCAAGCGAGGGGGTGAGGTTATTCTGATCTACTCTAGATTCCCTGGGCTCTCCATGGCTCACAGGTGGCTCAGGTCTCCTCTGAGTCGGGGGCGCGGAAAGTGACGGAGTCGTAGCCTGGATCGAGGACGGAGGTACTCTCTGGGTTCCCCTGGGTCGCAGACTCGCCGACGTCCGCTGGGTCCTTTGAGCCCACGTCGGCCTCGAGGGGGTGGTAGCATCTCTGCCCGCCGTGGTAACAATCACATCCCGTCGAGGTGCAACTGGAGGAGGCGAGCGTTGTGACTCCTCGGCGGTGTGCCAGGTTTGTGCACCCCCCCCCCCCCCCCCAGCTGCACCATAGAGCTGACCACTGTGTTCTCGAGCGTGGGGGGGTCCACCGCAATCCAGATCTTCGTCATCTCTCCATTGTGGGTGCTTTGCATTCGACAATGGCGAATGTCGTCCGCTAGGATGCTGTTGGTCGGGCGCTCCTGCCTGACCTTCTGCTGGCACTGCGTAAGCGCCGCCAGGTTCTGCTGACCTATCTTCTCGCCCTGTGCGACGAGGGCGCCCACCAGCGCCATCCACGCGTGCGGGTGGGGGATGCCCAGGGCCACCAGCTCGTCGACCGTCTGGCCCGACTCAAGCTGCTCTCTCTTGTCTTTTTCTGATATTGGCGGCCTCCGTGCCGTAGTGCTTCGCCGTCAACTGCATCGACTGGACAACGTCGTGTTTGGTGGGCAACTGCACGTGCCTGTAGCTGGCGGCCTCGAGCTGGTTCAGGCCCTGCGCGTGCCTGAGAGACATCCGCATCAGGGCGGGCATTACTGCTTGGACCCACTCGATCGGCATGCGCTGCAAGCTGGCGACATCTTGGCGGGCCAGCCCGAAGTGCGTGTCGGTGGTGTCCCAGACCATGGGGGCTGGCCCTGCCGCGGCTGCCGCGGCGGCTGCTGGTGCCTGCGAAGGCTCCGCTCCCTGGCCTCCTCCTCTGCGTGAGCGGCGGGGCGCTCCTCGCTCGTTGCTGCGGGTACGATCTCCCTCGCCTCGCTGTCGTCCTCTGAGTTCTCGCTGTCGTTCTTCGGTCCCAATGCTCAGCGCACGCTCCGCGAGGTTCGACATCAAAGTGGATCTCTGGAGCGGGGGGTGCGTGGACCTCTCTGATGTGGCGCTGGAGGGCGTCTAAACTCGGGAACTCGCCTTGAGCCCTGGCGGCGTCGGCACGGAGGAGCCTCGCACGATGGACTGGATGCGCGACTTCGGGATCCAAGCAGACTGGGCAGAACAAAACCTCGGGTGCTCTCAGGGCGGGGGAGTAGGGGCTGTAGTCGGCGATGCGCCGTTTCATGTTCAGCGACTGCACAATGTGTCGCTTCGCCAGGACGTCCGAGGAGAAGGTCGAGGAGCAATAGAAACACTGGTTAGTAACGACGAACCGATGGATTGGTACACGGCACTTATGAGCAGGATGATGACATTGATGAGCCTTGAGAGCCGCCTTGGGGACATAGGCACAATTGCAAGGTTCCCCGTTTTCAAGAGGTAGTTCACACACATATTCTTGATGTGGCTCTGGAACTGGCTGGGCCACTGGGGCCGAGAGGTCCTGCGGAGGCACCAGAGGTCGAGAGGAGGCCTGGTCCCAATGCACCTTGCGGAGCCCAGCGGGGTCCAGACTAGCGAAGAAAGCCGCAACCCTGTACTGAGTAAAGATGTCCCTGATCGAGTGGCCCTGGTCCAAGAAGAGCTTGCCCTTGGGGGGGAGCCCGAGAGTGAGGATTTTTTCTGCATGTGGAGGGCCCACGGGTTCGCATTTTTTGTCGATCCAGCCCGACACGGTGAAAAACAGGCGCCTCCTGCAACGCCTCAAAGTCCCCCAGTAGCGCAGCGACTGCTTGCACAGAAGACTCTGGGTACTTGGCCAGTTGTTGCCAGTACCTCAACCTGCGTACGAGGAGCTCGGCGCGTGCGTCGGCGATGCGCAGGCGCTTGTGGACCTGCCAGGCGCGTGGAACCCGAATCTGCTCTACTCCCTCGACATCAGTACGTCTGGCAACTCCCCGAAGAACGACGTTCGCGAAACCCAGGAGAACGGCATCCAATTTGGCGTAATCCCGTTTGGCCAGAAGGTAGGTCCCCAGGCCCGCGTAGGCCGCACTCTGCAGAACTCCCAAGAAGGCCATTTGTTTAACCTGAGCGAGACGTGCTGCTTCCAGAAGCGACCCAGTTTGCACCAATCCGATCTTGTCGCATCAATCCTGGCTCGAACCTCCGCCCCCGCGCCTCCAGTGAGCTGCTCCAGGCCTCCGGGGTAGGCCGCCTGGGCCTTGGGCTGCCCAGGGAAAGAGACGAGCCCCGAAAGGACGGCACGGGTGGCCGTGCACCCTCCAGGGCCCACGAAGACAAGCAGAACGAGCTCCTTGGATGCGCTCTGCGTGAAGCCGCCTTGGGCTCTGAGCTTGGCCGCCAGGATGTCCGAGGACTGATTGGCCACCTCCGCGGCGCGAAAAGGGCCGTTGTCTGGCACTGGCAACGTCTGCGAAACATCATCTGCATAATCACGAAGAGACAAATCCACTAGCTGCCCCGAGCACGGGCAGGAAATGAGGGTGGCGGCCTCCATCAACGGAACGATGGAGCCGTCCTGGAGGTGAAGGTAATCCGTGCTGGTAATGAGAAGCTCACGGCTCCAATCCTCCAAA